CCTGCCTGTGGGAGGCTCCCACCGGGGCACTGGAGACGGTCTGTCCATGGTGCAAACTGGCCAGCCTTTGCGGGTGTGCCAGCAGGTGCTCTGGCGGTCGGACACTGTCCGGTGCACCGAGTTCCTCCTCAGAAAACGCAGACCCTTTCAGTGGGGGCACAGATGGCCGCCGAGGGCCAGGGGCTCGCAAGCAGCCACTTGCACACCCAAGCGCACAGCAGCCTAAGAAAGGATCCGTTTGCACGTGCATCTCTCACAAATGTAACGCAGGCGCTCAGCCCTCAGAAGTCTCAAAGCTTCCAATCAGGCATTGAATTGGCAATTCCAAGATAAAAGAAAACTGGAGTATAATCATTTCCGAACCGCAACAACAAATTATGCTTATGAAAGCACTTGGCCCTGTGTGTCCATCTGTCCCCATTGAAAGCTCCCACGTTTTACGGGCAGAGTGGACGTGCGAGTTGGTTTTCGCGTCGCCCTGGTGCGAGCCGGAGCGATGAGCACCATGGTGAAGTGCTCAGGGCACCAGCCCGAGACTCAGCGCCACCAAGATCAGTTTCCAGTTCTGCCATCAGCTTCCTGCACAACCTGATGAGGCACTGCAGTCGCCCTGTGCCTCTGTTTCCTCATCACAGACTGTATCTCTTTGAATGACCCGTTTCTGTGCTGCTTTTCTGGGTTGTGAGCTAACCCAGGGTAATGCCTGTCTCTTCCCAGGTAGGTACAGCATGATGCACCAGCCTGGACGTCGGCCGAGGACCCTGTGTGCTATGGAACTACCAGCAACAGCGGAGCAAGTTGTCTTTGACTCTTCCTCGTCTCCCAAACTGTGCTCCTCTCCCTGCCCACACCGTCCTTGTTGCCAGACTTTTTTGCAGGACTTCCTAAATTAATGCTACCTGGATCCTCTACCGTAGATTGAACGTGAAGTTAGGGACAGGATGCTTGATGACATTTGCTAGTTTACAAAAACAGCCAAGCCATGTAAAGAACAAACCGTTGACATAAAATACTATCCACCAGTTAATCCAGCGCATCTCCTGCCGTGAGACCAGTGCCAAGCACCCGAGAGCTACAGCCACACCTTGTGCCAGGGATCCTGTGCCTTCACGACTCAGGATTCTGTGATGGTCATTCACACCTCCCTGCAGACCTGACCATCAGCTCGCTTTAACAAACAACATAAATCAAATGACCACCTCTAAAGAAAAGCCTGACAAGCTGCGTACATCCAGGGTGTAAATCCAGGGTCTGGCAGGCGGTGGGCTGGCAGCGCCCTGCCCCTCGCCGGATCCAGCGTGCAGGCAGGAGCCCTCTCCGTGCGTTAACGAATCAGGCTGCCCCACGCAGCTGTGGATGCGCAAGCCCTGCACAAACACCGCCTTCCCCGGCTCCAAATGCTCTCCCGCCCTTCAAATCCAGACACCAAACCTTCAGTCCTCCTTGGAGTCCTCTCCAGCCACACCACACAGAGACCAAAAAGGCAAATTCCCACACCAAACGTACCCTCTCTGGTCACTCCAACGCACATGTCACCTTTTATTTGGAAAGGTTTTCATTTTGCGTTATTGTAAAATCATCAGTGGAAAGGGGAAAAAAGAAAAAGAGACAGTGGAAGACAGGTAAATAAAAAGCGGAGAGAAAGGGAAC